CATGAAATTTCCCTTTGCTTTCTCCAGGAGACAATAAGTACGAGAGGCAAGAATTCTCTTTTGTGTTTCACAAACACTACTGAAGTAAAGGATTCAAAATTTAGATATTTTTAAATTATCTGTGCATTTTCTTGACTTTGTCTTTCATACCCATGGAGGATTGAGAGTCCTGAAGCACCTTCCCAGTGGGTTACTAGTATAGGCCCCTTTAGGGGACAGGTTTGGAAATGGTTCACAGTCTTAATCATCTCAGGAGTATCTTCAAGGGATTGATGAAAAGCAGTTGCTGCTATGCAAACAACTCTAAACCTGTGAATTCAGGCTAAGTGGTCAAGTACAGGAGAATACACACAAATCTTTAAAATAAATGTATATGTGTACTTAATATACATAAATATATACATATATATATTTTAATTTTTAACTTTTTTTTGGTGCTGAGGATCAAACCTGGGGCTTAACCTAAACTAGACAAATACTCTACCATAGAGCTACACTTCCAGCCCAAGGTATAAATATTTTTGTTGATTTTGTTTTGGTACCAGGGGTTGAATCCAGAGCCTTCCACCAGAGCTGCATTTTGGGTTCTTTTTGATGACTTTCTTTGTTTTTTGTTTTTTTTTTTTCCTTTTTGGTACAAGGAATCAAACTCAGGGCCTCACGCTTGCCAGGTAGGTGCTGTGCTGCTGAGCTACACCCCATCTTGGGTTCTTTTTTTTAGGGGGGTGTTCTTTTTTAATCTATGTATATATATATATATATATGTATTCTTTTCTGAATTTTTATTTTTTTTTATTTGTTCTGATGGTGTTTGAACTCTTGCTTCCTAGATACTTTCTCTCATTTGTTTTGGAAAAATCTTGATCTTTGTTTCTTCAGCTATTTATTCAGATCCATACCTCTTTCTTTCTTTTCTCTCTGGTATTCCAACAGTATATATGTTGTGCTTTGGCAAAATTATCTTACAGTGCTTATTCTATCCTGGTGGAGTATTTCCTCCTCTTTCTCCTTCTCCTTGTTTACTACATTTCAGTTTGAGAAGATTTTATGGAAAAATCCTTTTTTTTTTTTTAGAAAGGGCCTCACTATGTAGTTCAGGCTGGCCTTGAACTCACTATGTAAGCCATGGTGATCCTCCTAGTGTTCAGATTACAGACATGTGCCACTATGCTCAGCTCTACTGACAGATCTTCAAGTTCATTGCTTCTTTATTCAAAACAGCCTCTTAATAACCTTTAGTCAACATAGCCTACTAAAGACCTTCTTAATTTTTGTTACAAACTTTTTATTTTTAAAAATTACCTCTATTTTTCCTAGTTTCTCTCTACTTAATGTCTTTCCTCTAATATATTTTCTAATTTTTTCATTGGAGTGCTTACCATCATAATTGTATGAAATTTCCTGCCTGACAATTCCTACATCTTTGTCATTTCTAAATACAGTTGTAGTAATTGCTGTGACTCTTCATACTTTTTTATTGCATTTTAGAGAGCATTGAAATTTTTAAAAATATTCTTTGAAAAGTGGACATATAAAAGGAACTGAGGAAAATAGACCTTTACTGTAGAGTTATCTAGGTAGGAGATAGGCTATATTTAATGTTTGCTGTAGCCATAGATGCCAGAGGCTTTGTAATCCTCTAATATCCTTGTTTTCTTCTCCTGTCTTGACTTTGGACTTCCCTAAGCACTACTGCTCAGAAATAATCTATTTGCAGTTTTCTCAACTATAATAACTGAAGTTATACTGAAGACCTGTTAGTATGGCAGAACGGTGGATATGGGGGGCTTTCTATAATTTTGAAATTAAATCTCAGTGTTTTTCTCAGCTGATATGTTGAAGCTATAGCCATCAAAAGCATTTTCCAGTGGTATAGAGTTCTATTTCCTCTTCCACCTCCTCCCTCCACCAGCTGCAGCATCCAGGTCTATTTTCTGGAAGCCCTGGCTCCCACACTGTGGTCTTCCCCACTTTTGGGTGAGAGAAAGGCTAGAAGGAGCTGAAGTCCAGGAGCTCACCTTCCCCCAAGGAGGATAAAGTTGCCGAAATGTTTCATTTTTTTTCCTTCTGGAGGGTAAATGTTTGTTTGAAGAAGGCTTTAAGCATAATTAAAAATGGTTACTCTTTCCCATTCCTCCTAGACCTTCAAGGATACCTTTCTTGGATCTTCATTTTGAAAACCTAATAAGATCCTTAAAGAAAAACATGAGGAGAGTGTGGGAAGCCCCCGAGACTGTGGCCTCCAAATTCAGTTTTCTAGTTGTTGCAAGAAAATCATTGATTTTCAGTGTACCTAGATTTTTTTCTTGATGTAAGAACACCTGTGAAGATTTCCAAGTACCTTGCATATCAGATTTAAAATCAGAAGTCATGAATGGTGTGTTTATCCTTCCTAAGATATGAATAAGCATTCATAGGTATCATTGCTGTTTCTGAAGAAAGGAAATAAAAGTTACTCTGAGCTGTATTGCTGAGGAAGGGGAGAGAAGGAGGTAGCTGAAGGAAGCTTGACCAGTGCATCAAACTTTGAAAACATAAAATAATTAAATTAACAAAAATTTCTATTCTCTGTACTGATAAACTTGAAATTTTGTGACATTTATTTTTATATTATTTCTAATTTCCCTTGCAAGATATGTTTAAGTTATATAGGTCATTAAAGGATGCGTAAAATAACCATAAAATAACATGTATTTCTAGATTATTAATTGAATTAAAATGCAGATAGAATGAATCTTCTTGTTTTTGTATGAAATCATACTAGAAACAAGAGAGATATAGGATAGATTAATCCTACAATTTCAAACTGTTGTCTGGACCAGTGTGTGTCAAAGAGCTACAGGCACTAGCACAACATATTAAAAATACAAATTCTGTACAAATTAGAAATACAAATTCTGAGGCCCCACCCCCAATCTACTGACTAGAAGCTCCTGACAGAGAAGCCAAGGAATCTGTGTTGTAACCAGCCTTCCACAACCCATTCTGGTGTTATTTCAAGTTTGAAAACCAGTGATCAGGGGCTAGGAATGTGGTCAGTGGTAGAGCATGTGCTTAAAATACAAGAGACCTTGGTTTCAATCACCCAAACCAATCCTCTTTCACCCCCCCTCAAAAAAAGCCATGGACCAATGCTAAATTATAATGGGAACTATCTCTTCCAGTTGTAGTTTGCAGATTAAATTCTCTGTTAACTTTATACTTGTAAGAAAAAAAATGTTACTCAATTAGTCATCAGTAATGACTCTATTACCCTAGAGATTATCACAAACAATTACAAAGAAAGCTTCTAAAATCATACAAAAATTTGAATGTGTAAAAATAGGATGACAGATTCACAAGTTTTAAGTCTTATGGGGATTGCAAAGAAAAGTTCCATTTCTAGTGATAAATTGTAAATTAAAATTTGTTAATTTAGTTTTTATTTGGTAAATTTTTTGTTTTGAAATAATTCCATGCTTACAAAAATAGTACAAAGAATTCCAACGTATCTGTCATTCAAATCCCTCCTTTTTAATTTCCATAACCAGGAAACTGAAAATGCTGTAAATAATCCATAAATATCCAAATGTTTCCATAATCTCATCTTGAGCAGTTCTTTATTCTTTATTTTTTAAAGGCAGTGCTAACTGGCTAGCTATTTGGGAGTATATTCTTTAAAGAAATCAGCTCCATTTGATATTTTCTCGATTAGATTCAAGTTATACACTTTCAGCAAGAATACCACCAAAATGGTATGAGGCCCCTTTTGCTTGTGTTAGTCAAATTTCCTGTATTGTGACAAAATACCTGAGGAAATTAACTTATATGGATGAAAGGTTTATTTTGTCTCATATGTGGAGTACATGATCAACCCTGTCCCCTTTGAGCCTATGGCAGGGAAGCATATCATGGTGAGGAGTGTGAGGCAGAAATCTGTTCACTTCATGTTGTCTGGGAAACAAAGAGAGAGGAAAAGGAGGCAGGGTCCCATTATCCCCTCAAGAGAACACCCCAATGACCTAACTTCTCTCCACCACATCCTACCTCTTATATAGGTTCTACAACCACTTGAAAGCACCACTGGCTGGGGCCCAAGCCTTGAGCATGAGCCTTTGGGGACATTTAAGATAAAATCCATAACATCAGGCATCATAGCAGTGTTGCTGACTATATCACTTGGCTAAGATGACATCAGCCTGGTTTTCCCACTGTAAAGTTACTATTTTTCTTTTTATAATTAATGACTATCTTAGGGGGAAATGGTATAAAATTATGAAAATATTCTGTTTTTCATGGTTTTGTAACATTAGTTTTAAGATCCATGCAATATTCTTGCCTGCAACAATTAGTACTGTGATATTCACAGAATGGTGATTTTAAAAATATATTTATAATTTCTAGTTCGTTTATTAGTTGGTATTCCAATATAAAAAGATTATTTCCCTCTTAAATTTTTATCCAATTATATATTTATACTAGAATGACATCATAGAGTTTATTCTATTCTATGGTTTATAATTCATCACTTCCATTTATTTTATTGCTCATATTGTCCCAGTTTTAACAAGTATGTATCTCCGGTCACAATAATGGTTTTCAATATCCCGTGATTTACTGAACACAAGTTATTCCAGGTTATCTCGCACTCTTTCAGTCCCCATCTTGGAATCAACTACTTCTCTAAAAACATAGGTGTAGGGGCTGGGGATTTAGCTCAGCGGTGCCGCCGCCTGCCTCACAAGCACAAAGTACGAGTTTGATCCCTGGTACCACACACACACACACACACACACACACACACACACACACACACACAAAGTAGT